AATCATTTATCAGTAAAATCCAATATACATATAGTTCAATAAAGTTTAATATATTTAAACTGAACGATTTAGTAGGGAAAGGCAGAAGCCCGCACGTGATATATACATATAATACATTTATTCCGTATTTAGATTAATATATAATAGATAGATATATAGTTTGATGACGTTTGCACCAAGCTTCATAAGTTCTGATAAATTTGAAAATTATTTTCTGAATAAAAATTAACTTTTTTCTTTGAGATAATTAAATGCAATGCCAACAGTAGCAAAAATTTAATTGTGAATTGAGTGTATCAATATTTCTTTAACTAATAAGCGCTCAATTAAAGTTTAATTACTTAAAAATTATGAGCATTTTTATTACAAAACGTATTATACTCATGAATATTTGTCCAAAATTTTTTTATTAATTGTGAGTAAGAAAAAAATGCAAATTTTCTTTAGAAATATATATGCAAAGTAATACGTTTCAAAAACATATAGGTAGTATCATCCTTCAAAAAAAGCTGTGTATCACTGTCTAGACACAACAATACAATGCACAGGATGCTCCAAACATTTTCGTTTAGTTAAAATTTCTTTAATGACTTTAGAATTGTGTTTCGTTATATAAAACAATAAAAATCTTAATATCCTTGAAATATCCTTTTTCCTATGGTAACACTATTTTATAAATTTTCATGTTAAATATCTTAAAACACAGAAAACACACACACACACACACACACACACACACACACACACACACACACATACACTGTGCGCGTGTGCATAAGGTCTGAACTTGTTAAAGTCTACTTACTTTGTTAGGTAAATTAAACATAAATAAGTCTCTATATTAGCTGTCCATATTTCTGAGATTTAATTTGCAAAATGCACTTTGCGTAAATAGCTTGAACTTGAAAATTATCGATAATTTATAATTAAAAGTAGAACAAATTTAATTTCCAGTGTTGAGAAATGATACAGTACAGTTGGGACACCTTGTATATCACACTGGAGAAAATATGCTACGGTCGCTCTTTGGTGCCTGGCTGTCTGCTCTTATATGACAAATCACAACCTGATTAATTGACTCTACCAGTCGGCTCGTGCTGGTTAAACGTTGTTCATTAGGCGAAAAACGTGATCCTAGACGACCTCCGAGCAAGGTATCGCAGAACGAGAGAGAGAGGACTTTTTTTTACGAGACTCTAAATATGCTAAGTAGCTGTAAAACTTAAAAAACGTCCGGCAAAGAGAAAAAAAGTTTCGTCCGCACATTGAAGAGACACCAGGCGTTCATTCACCAGTTCTCCTCTTCGATTCCGAGGATAGATGACGATGCCAGCGGCAAATAATTATTCAAATTTTGCGAATCATAGAATTGATTCGCATATCATATAAGTTTCAAACGTGTCCTCATTAAAATTTAGCGTACTGAAACTATAATATATAAAACGCATTTCTGATGTGAAATATTTTCTTCATTTTATTAGATGTGGCTAAAAAAATTATTGCAATTACATGCAGAGAGAGAGAGAGAGAGAGAGAGAGAGAGAGAGAGAGAGAGGAGGAGCAGTCATGCAGTGTTTAAATATTAAAAAATAAAAAAATTCTCTTAAATCACAATCGATTTAAAGGAGTGATAATTTGATTAGAATGTAATTAATTATGAGATTAACTATTTGACTGATATTTCTGTATTCAAGTGTCGCATGTACATGAAATGTTTTCGTTCGTCATCACTACATGACGCGATGCATTTGCATGTGTTCTCTTTTGCCAAGAAGAAAACAGTGCGCTAATTCGCGGCATTTCATATGACGGACGATCAATTCTGCATGTATATAAGTGTGAATTCTATCAGACTCGGCTGTTTCACGACTGCGAAAATAAAGTAGTAGTCCTCTAATTTCTTCTGGATATTTTATTTTTATTCTAGATATTTTTAATTCAGATGTATAAAATAATCAGATACGGTGTGTTTCGCAGAAATCGCGCGGAAAAATAGAAACTAAACTTGAATTTCACAGCAGCTGTTATTCGTGTGAGCCTATAAACTTGTTCAGATGCCGTAAACGGTTAGAAGGAAAGAATGACTGGAAATAAATCTTTAAAATGAAAATATTAAAGCCTTAATGTTGCTGAAGAGTAAGTTTTATACTACGTTTTTTGACAATTAGCAAATAACGAAATTAATCTCAGCTTTTTTCAAAGTGCAAACGTAAAAAGAATAAAAAAAGAGCATGAAATGAATAAACGTGTGATAATTGTTGACAAAATTATATATGATATCAAAAGAACTAACAAACTTATTTAATGTTTTTAGGACTGGTATCAGATGTTTGGATCAGATATTTGGATGGAACATTGTTAGTAAACAGAAGTACAAAATAAAATATCTTTTTTTATTGTTTAGAGAAAGAGGGAGAGAGAGAGAGAGAGAGAGAGAGAGAGAGAGAGAGAGAGAGAATATATTTTATAAACAAGATATGACAAATTAACAATTAATCAACAAAACAATAATTCTAGACTATATACTCTAAAACAGGAAAAAATTCGTATTTATCACTGTGATTACAATTTTAATGTGTTCGTCACATATGATAAACATTGGAAGAAAATATTTTAAAATATAAAACAAATATAGACGTAGTGAAAACATAAGAGAGACAATCTATATAAAATGCAAACTACGTTTTTATTTCACACTCTTATTTAAAAAGTTAGAGGGAAAATAAAATCAATTGTATATCATTAATTGGTTATTTGATTTTAATAATTTTTAATGAGAATACTATAACTACTTATGTTACTTTTTAATCTGTTTTCTGTATTCTATCTTTTGTTGGTCCCAAACTGATTAACTGATCGTTTAAAATAGATTTCAAATCATAGTTTAAATGTGTTTTATTCAAATTATAACGAACGAATATATTGCATATAAATTCAAGTCTCAAAAACTTTCATGCGCAAAAATTTTTTCGGATATGTAGTTGTTTGTTGAATTTTCGTCCAATTGCCATAACAAATCTTTGAAGAAAAAAAAAGAGGCTGCTTTAAGATGAGGAATAAAAGAAGTAGATTTTAGTGCCAATGTGTTTACTTTGTTCCCAATTTATTCTGTAAATCTACGAAGAAGTAGAAGAGAGTAGAAATAAAGTGAAGAACGCCTATTCGTAGTAATCAGCATAAGAGAGATGCACCGACTTTTCTTGGCGGCATAATTAATAAACTCATTGATTTTAATAAACTTACTGACAAAACTATTACTTTCACGTGTTATTAATTCGCTCTAATGTAGTGATATAAAAATTAATTTTTCCGACTCTCTGATGGACCTGCTATATATTCCGATAATCTATAAATGCCTCTTTTAAATAATAAGATTAATATTAGACTAATAGAGTCTCATTATATTGAGCATATTCTCCAAATTATAAATTTGACTACTTTTATAATTATTTGTAATATATTTTGACCTTTCAGTTTTGATAAACTGTTTTAAATATATCTATTCTTAATTTAAATAACGCGGAGTAACTTACTAGACAATTATAATAATTTCTATTAACTTTTCTGGATCTTTGCAAGATTTTCGATCTATTATTGTAAAAAATCGCCAAAGGAGTCGCAAGTTGCTGAAGAACGAGTTGAATCAGACATTTGAAAACCGTTAATTAAATAACGTTGTACAGCAATTTATGCAGCGCTTAATAAACGGAAAGTCACTTTGCGAGTTTTACTTATTATTAAAAATTTATTTAATTTGATTAGTTTATCTTTCGTTATCGAGAGCTTGCATTTATCATTAAAATAAAGTTTCATATTGCAGCGTTATCAGGTCTCTTTATTCTTGGATTAAAAATTTATTAAAATAATGTTTTTACATTATTACATATTTCACATTTTGATATAAGGCGCAATTAACAAAATTGTCAACAAAATTGTGACTGCAATTTTGTTGAAAACTGCAAATAATTATGTTACATATACATAAAAGTTTTGTTATAATGTATACAAAAGTAATTTGATGAATAATATTTGATAGAAACAATTTTGATATGTATCGTCTTCATATCTCTTTTTGACAAATGACAAATATTTTGACTATCAATTATAATATAAGTACTGTATATAAAAAAATCAGCATTCTTTCTCTCTCTCTCTCTTTCTCTCTCTCTCGTTCTTTAATTAATTTTTCTAATAATGAAAAAAGTACAAAATAACTAAATGCGAATTTTCTAAAAAAACGTGTTTAAAATGCAATAGTTGTTTGAAATAGATGGACATGTAATTACTAAGAGAAATAATAAAATAGAAAAAACTCTGAATTTTGGAAAATAAAAGATTTAAAATACACAAATAATTCGGAGATATGGATAATTTACGAATAATTCATGAATGACTTGTAGACAACACTTTTTAAATAAAATACGCGATTTTTGTCTATAAACAGTAGAAATACTAATAATATCAAACAAAAGAAACTTTTTTTGCTTATTGAGAATCAAAAGATTCTATCGAGAATTTATATAATAAATGTAGAGTGTACCGCATGTTGCATGTTAAAAAATACATCAGTAAAATATTATCGGAATATACGTTATATGCTACCGTTTCAAGTTTGCATTAATCACGAGAATTCAAATTTCCCATTTATTTGGAAAGTCCAATCGAAAACAGTCGACGACAGTCGACAGAATTCGGCGCAGAAAACGCGTCCGCCTTTATGGATTTTAAATGAAACGCGATTGCAATTAAATCCATCGGCAGTAGTGGACAGTTTTTCGGATCACTGGGTTCGCATTCAACCTTGAGCGTATATGTACTAAATCAAAGTTACCCCGTTTCTGTGTATTGAGCAGCACTCCCCACTGCACCGACTGGTTCATTAACAATTATATGGACAACCATGGTACAGGTGGCACGATATATAAAGTCACGAGGAATCGCCGTGGCTGACTATTAGTTCGGATCGTTCCACCGACCGGTTTGCGAATAATTCCGACTTCCTATACGTCGTATACAATATTATATATCTCCGGATAATCGTAAATCGGCCGATTTAATCGACTGATTGGCTGAACACGTGCCGAAGTGAACGACTTGGATTCGTGGTTTAAACCACAGTTTCACTTGAATCCTTCCGCGCCAGCTTTTTTCACTTTTTGATTGTCGACATCGAGATTTAAAGAAGATCAAACCTTGATTGTCAAGATCACTACAAGTTTGCATCCTAATCAAATCTTTCCTATTTGCCTCCAGAATTTGTTTTGTGTTTCGAAGCTGCAGGTAGAATCCCTTATCTATCACGATGATGTTCGTCGAAAGAAACGCCGATCTTTTTTTAATGATTATCATATGTCTACTTGTGAATCATTGTCAAACGTCGTGCATCGGAAAGACTATGCTAAGTAAGTATGCCTCTTTTTTTATGTTGATTAATTAGATATAATACAAATAATCACGTCATTAAGAAATAACATACAATAAAACCACACTAATAGTCAAATGCGTATAAACGAGATATAGTGTTTATAACTGATTTTCCTATTTGCGACCTTTAAGGTCTTATTTAAAGGCTAAAGGCTTATTTACATAACATCTCCACAAATTTTTTGTTAAATTTATTAAAATCTTTGCTGTTGTAAATAGTCACTAAGATATTTTCAGTTTATACATTCTTAAATTAAAAATATATTATAAAAATTAAATTTCTACTATTTTAAGATGTATTGCTCTATTAACTATTTTAAAATTTGGTAAAATTGATACAGTAAAACTAAAGTATATTAATAATTAAAAATTTTTAAGTAAATTAAAAAAATAACGCATTATTGAAAAGAATAATTTAATTAATCTAATATATTAAGCTTGTACATTTGTATCTAATATTGGATTTGTAATACGAATACAAAAAAAATGCGGCCAAACAGAAAAATTGTAGACTAAACAGAAACAGTCGATCGAGAGCTATTTAATTAATATATACAAGCTCTATTTAATTAATATATATAAGAGCTATTTAATTAATATATACAATTTCTTTCCCATGAAATTCATTTTATTACAAGTTACGATGGAATGGAGTTAGCAGGTGTTGACCGAATTGCATCGTTACACTCAGTACCAAGCCCATCTCATTTCCGGCGCAAAAAGAAACTGATGTTTCCAGTCATAGCGAGACGGCCATCAGCCAAATATACGGATGTCACTCGAGTTTCGCCTTTTCAATGGTTGCTAAACGAGCGAATGATACACGGCATGGCACGTCGCGTCGCATCGACCCGAATGATGATTAATTGGCGTGCTTTGAAAAGGGAACTCGATTGTCGTTTATTCTTGTCTTTTTAGTAATATCTTTTTCTCTCTCTACTCATTACTTAATTTTTAGCAACAGTATACTTATTGGTGCCTTAAGAGTAAACAAATCGATTAAAAGATCGATTTAATATATCTGCGGGAAATGTGAAATGAAAAAATTTCAAAAACAGTAGTTTCCTATAATATAAATATGCTATTATAATAATTGCAATTTTGATTGTATTTAATCTTTCTGCATCTTTTATTTGAACATATGTTGCTTTTCATATTTTTCAAATCTTAAATACATTTTTAATGAGAGAGAGAGAGAGAAATTGACCAAAGAGTATCATTTATATCTTTTTTTATTTAATTTATAATGCAAATTCTTTTACAAAGATCTTTTCATCAATCTATTTGTAACCATATTTAGAAACAATTAAATTGGACTTGTACTCATTGAAATAATTAAAAATAGTATTAAACTGAAAAGAAATAAAATCGGAAACCATATGAATTTTGATATGAATTTGTAACTGTCCACTAGCGTTATATCCGATGAATTTTAGACACGCGTGTGATCAACATGACGGAAACATGAAATCAAGAAAACCTACTTCAGCCAATCAAGATAGAAATCAATTTCAGGAATAAATTAGTTTCTAGGCACTTCTTCGTGCAGAAGTTATTCAATATTCGTATTCGGCAGAATATTTTCGTCTAAAATAGAACTTGACGACTGCTGTAAATTCAAATCGCCGATCATTATCGACAGTGCCTCGAGTACAAGATATATTTACGGGAAATCTCCATGTTTTAATGATGCAAGCTATTCTGGAAATAGTTAAGGTCATGCGTAACTATAAAGTGTGGTGATTCTTAATTTAATAACACAGTTAAAAAAAACACCATAATGAGACTAGTCATTTCCCGTAGTTTTTTTGGAAGCTAAATCCGAATTTGATTGTAGAATTGCTCTGTCATGTCACAATTTGGAGAAATTTGCAGGTAAAGTTGCAAAAAAGGGCTATTTTTAAGTATTTTGTCATATTATAATTTCGAAATGCAATGTGCTAGAAAAGTGTTTTTGCAATCAAAATTAAGTATTATGTTGTTAGGACTTTTAACCCTCAATGGAAACTTTTTGTGTTTGTTATGGTTAACAAGTTATTTATTATTAAATATGGGATTCATTGCGGAAAAACTGAATTGAATTATTGACAATAACTAAAACAAGTCAAGGCAATAAATAAACAGCTTCTAATTTTGTTTACTTTGCGGTTTTGCAATTACAAAACAAACAACTTTTTAAAATTTGTAACTCAAAAATAAATTAATATAAAGCTTTATAAAAAGACAAATGAAAGTGTAAACTATAAGTCTTAACTCTTTTTATTTCTTCACAGATAAAATAATAATGTACAAAAAATGTATACTTTTTTAAAATGAAATACAGATAATAAACATCTGTTTAGACAAATGCAAAATTTAAATAAATAATCATGAAAAATGTACCATATAATACATTCTTGAAGAACAAGCTTTTAGCTTCAATTTCTTTTAAAAAATTTTTAAAAAATTGTCCTATAATATTTTAACAAAAAGTTATCAGTTTTCTTTTCAAATATACTAACAATTAGTTTTTTAACATAATTTGTTTTTAAGTTACAGATTTTACAAAATGAAGTTGTTTATTTGTAATTGTTGTTTTTTTTCAAAACGGTATAACTTTACGGTAAAAAAGAATTTCATAAAAGAATTAAAAAAAATGCATTTGTTAAGAAATAAATGTGATTTTGAAAACTCATACATTTTTGTACGAGGCAGTCGTTACTCCCTTGAGCAACGCAATAGTTTAAAGAAAACAGTTTTTTTTCCTAGGTCTTTTCAAGCTTTAGCTTCAATTTTCGTTATTTTGTAAAAACTCTTTGTATCTCAATTTCAATTAAGCAGTTCAGAGAAATGTTTAAGCTTTAATAAAATTTAGTGGCTCATTTTTTTGCAGGTACTACATATGTGTATTACTTTTATTGTTTACTAATAATAATAAAAAATTGTTTACCAAAGTAAGCGCCACCTATGAATCAGTCAGGAAAAATATGGAATAGATTTACAATGATTTGAATTGACAAATTGCAGATGGGCAAAGTCTTATATTTTTTTTATATATTATATATTATATCGTCAGAGAGAGAATTTTTTAAAAGTGTGCTTAAATGTATAATAATATTGTAATGTAAATCTTCTCTCGGATGCCCTACAATGCGCATCGAGTAAACTCCTGCACGAGGACTAAAGCCGACAGCATTCATTTACCTTATTACTTAAACTGCCTTTAGATTCAGAAAGTAACGAAAACCGGAGAACTGGTACGAGTGTAAAGATCTCGTAAGATAGATTGGGAAATACGCCGCGCGCAGGCTGTAACACAGTTGTGACGGTGATCTTCCGTGTACAATGGAAGGTAACAATTAATTAACTCGCGCGTGACGCGGTGGCGCGGTAACCGATCATATTACCGATGCAAAACTTGCGCGACTCGATACTTTATCTATTTCACAAAGGCTATGCAATTACTCACCTTTCTCCGTATGCCTGTGATCATATCGTTGTTGCGCGGCGGCGCGAGCGGTGCACTCGCGGAGAAAAAAGTGATTATATAAACCTGTAGCGGAATGAGGTGGAATGTCCTAAATATCTTTGTAGATTAGCGTTTTAACATTTCAACGATAAGTATTCTTCTTCAGTTTCGTGATAATAAATAATAATGTTTACTTTCGCAGCTAATCCTCATACCGTCCAACCAAGATAAAAATTGTTTTCTCTCTAATTTGTTTCTCTTATTTAGAGTCTGCAGAGTTGGAATACCAAAACGCTCTTTGTATCATTCGTGTAATACCTATATATTTGACAAGAAAACTTAATTTTTTCTTGTAGAAATACAAAATTTTCTCTTGCAATTTCGTGACTATATTTTTGGGCTTGACATAGCTTGTAAAGATTAATTGTTTGCACACCGGAGAGATTTGATTTATTTATATAATATACATATATAAAGACCTTGCTCACATTTTTATATAGGTTCTATATGGGCCCGCCTGGCAACTAATAATGAAACTTAGCTACAGTATGCGCGTATTAATTGCGAGAAGTCTGAAATGGATTTTTTTCTTAAATTTCAAGATTCTTTTTAGGATTTCTAGAATAACACATATTAAATATATAAATATCAAAGCATATTTATGTAATTTAATATAACAATATATAATTTTATGTTATCCTATATATATTATATATATAATTATATATGTATTATATATATAATTATATATATAAATTAGATAATGTGTTAATATCTCACATTTATACATATAATACATATAACACAATATGATCCTATCTTAAAATTGCCGTGTTACCGGCGTTGAAGCCTCTTTCCCCAATGTTTAAAAATTCATATCTTCCAGAAAAATAAAGATATAGACTTCTTTCTGGGCTCATCCTAAAGATG